TTCAGAGCTCATAATGGCGAAAGATATGGTGACGAAAAAATCATTTCACCACTATATCCCTTTATTATTATAAACTCTAATGGCAAGAATACTCTGGAAAATTTTGATACGAAGCATTGTCTCATATACAATAAACATTAAAGTGATGTTTCATTGTTTTTTGAGAACAATGCACTATACGCATATCGAGCATTTTAGTCTCACACTATGAGATTTTTATATTATTAAGTATAAAAATAAGCCATATAAAAATTCGATAATATTTACTAAAGTTATTTATTTTATTTTTGAATGCTGTTGGCAATATTCCTAACAATAAATTTCCTCTCCATAGAAAAGTATAATAGCTGTCAAATGAAAAATAGAAATAAAGACTCGTGCAATATTTCTTCGTGTTCCACTTCAAAAAAATAAATCATAAAATAATTTTATTTTATATTATATTCTTAATTGTACTTTAAAATAATTTTTCATCTTTGACTCAAAGTTATGTTGATAATTCAATTCTATTTCTTTCTTAGCAAGAAAAATGTCTAACATAAGTCTTTCTATGAATCTGTGATGTATGAAAGAAGTTTTCCTCTTTGTGCCCTCGGAGCCGTCAGCCTATGGTTTTGTCCACATTGTCCTTGTGCCTCGGGTCGTTCCTGTCAGCAGAAACCATTCCAAAACAATATCAAATACCCGAAAAAGCATATCTACTGCTAAAAAATACATAAAGAAAATACACAGGGATAACAATAAGAGGAATACAGTTACAACTAACAATAGGACATAAAAGAAATTCAGTTCTTCTCTTTCTATTTTAATGTATCTGGGTATGGAATAATGTTATAAACTGGCCATATTTCAGGTATAGTAAACAAAAATTCTGGTATGTGCCAATTACCATACATTGCCTAGGGGTTTTCAATTTGTAAGTAAAGTGAATTTTATTAAATAATGCTCGATATTTTTGAATTATAGCGCCTATTTATTGNGAAAAATATTAAAAAAGGGGGAAAATATATATATACCACAAGATATATTGACGGTGTAAGTCACTGAACTACTTCGAGATAACATCCAATATCTTTCAAAATTTTGCATCCAGATATATTGTCAATATATTTTTTTCTATTTTGTCTTTCATTCCCCCATGTTTTCGAGAGAATTACATTTACCATTCTCATTGTTATTCTGTTACGGAATGTTTTCCTTTTGTTTTTGGTTTTCTTCACATTTTTGTTTTGTTTTTTCTTCTCTATTCTTCGATAGGATAAAGTAACGAGGCTTTTTGTGTTCTTACTATTTCCTATGTTCGATATATTACGATGCTAACGAGAAGACCGTTTCCAGAAATAGTGCTATGTCGATATTTACTTGTCACTTTTTTCCTTTCTCCATGTCAATATTGTGTTCTGGGAAAAGTTAGGAGATTGCTGAGGCCTTACATCGGAATCTAAAAGTGTCTATAAAAACTACATTTTGTTTAGTTTCTACAACCGACATGTATTATTGTTAGGAAAACACGGGATAAAAAAAAACAGCTTTCATTAAAACTCCGCTTATAGAAGACCATAAAAATTTGACTTTTGTAATTTTTCTTTTCGAAAAATTGATGTAAACTTTTATTTTATTATACTTACGAGACTCTCATACTTGATTTTACATTAATACTGCATTATTTTACTTAAAAAAAATATATATATAATAATAATAATAAGTAAAAATTACAATTTAAATAGTTTAATTTTATCTGAATAATTCGGTGCATTATTAAATATTCAGTTAGTTAAATATTAAAATTGCATTCTTATTTTTAAAGTTTATTCATGTATAATACAGTAGACAGTGCTTTAACAACATAATTGGTTCTTGGAAAATCGTCGTTAAATGAGCCGTCGTAAATCGAACCTAATTACACGTAAGTTGTGTCACTAATTGAAATTCTGTGCTTGAAAATAAACATTGAATTGTGTAATATGATATCAATTAATAGAAAAAAACACATGTACAATACATTTCTGTTTCTGAAATAAGAAGAAAAATCTATAAATCTATATGAAAATGAATTTTTTTAATGCGAAAACTGTCAAACCGTATTTCAGTTGAATTAAACGTATTATAAATACTCAGATATGCAAACATTAATTTAATAAGTGGCAACTTTGTTGATGGACTTTTCCGGCATTCTTTATTTGTTTTCATCCTTAATAATGGGCACCGTTACATTTATAAGTCTTCAGATCGGTTCGGGAAATATTAAGGAAAATGAGGCCATATCTCCCGAACCAATAGTCCAATTTATCTGAAAATTTCTAGTGACATTTCTCCCTAATACGTAAACATCCCTGCAAAATTTTAGAAAATTTTGACAAAATGCACAAGAGTTATTAAGCTTAAAATTTGGTCCCATCACATACAAACAGAAAAAAATACCAACATTTCTTTCTCCATTCCTCGACATTTTGAAGGTCTCCCGAGTCCAAAAATGTAAAAATCTTGAAGAGTTATTTTGATCGATCTGCATACTTTTCCTGTGTTAAATAATAGCGGAGAAAGTAAAACTAATCAGACTATACTTGAGTCATTTAATAGAAATTTGAATGTATCTATTTACAGTAATCAAAATATTTTAAAGACAATGCTTTACGACTTCTTGTTTTAACGATTGGCAAATACAGGAAGGGTGCAAAAGTAGGTATTATTTTTATACATAAATTAAATTAATAAATAATGAATACTAAATAATAATTACAGTAGACCCCACTGTAGATAATTCTGTGTTATATGAATTTCATGTTGTACGAGTCACTTAGATTTTACAAATACGTGTGTCAGGCTGTGAACGGCTCATGTATTTGTAAAATCTAAATGACTCGTACAACATGGAATTCATATAACACGGAATTATCTACAGTGTTATAGGGGGTCTACTTGTATAACGAATAATAAGCACCTGTATTCACAACTCAATACCAACTTTTTGTAGAATTCAGTCGTAAAAGCGGGGTTTACCGTGTTTAAATAAAGAAAATTAAAAAAAAAGAAGAATTGAATTTTAATATTTAATTAACCGAAGAATTTACATAAGACATAACAAGTTTCTCATTTTATCTTAAGTGGGTAAAATCTTCAACTATACTCTGCTTAACTATTGTTAACAGTCAATAGCGTGCTGTTGTAATGAAACACACAAAAAATCCTCATAAAAACCGCATAATAAGATTATTGTTGCATTATTTAAGACAAAATTAATTTTCCTAAAGCCAACCTTTACAAGAACGATTTAATGTAACCCTTAGAGATTCTACGGTCTAGTAAATGTCCTAAAGCTGTATTGACTATGCGGGGGTTCATCTGTTCCGACTATTTATTTTCCATCGCTAATTGCTGTTCACAATGAAAACTGCAGAAATTTTGCTAAAGATAATCGAGAGTCGATGAAAATAATGATGGTGCGTAAAGTTTGTCTTTAATCTCACATAATGATTCATTAGGAACGGTGTTTACATACTTCTAATGGACTAAATTTCAGCGGAATAAACCAGGAACAAACTTTAAATAAAGAAGTAAAAAATAAAATAAAATAAAATTAATTAGATTTAATAAATAATAATTAATTTTTCCTAAATTTGTTTCTAATTACCTCAAATGGTTAAATTTATCATTTTATTTTATTTTTTAAATAGGATATTAAAGTCTAGACGTCTTTAAATGGTGTTTTTCTATTATAAAATATAAATAAAATTTAAAAAAAGTCTATTAAAATAGCCCAAAATCGCGAAAGTTTAACTAATTTGTAACCCGAAAATTTGTATATTTTCAGCGGACATATGACATTTGTTTTTGAATTTGTTTTTAAAAAGTTTAAACAAGTTACATTATAGGCTAATTCACTCAAGTTAATTTTTGCTATTTTATTAAAATTTTATTTTTGTTTTAAAGAATCCACCATTTTACTTAAAGATCGTAAGATGAAAGCTGCCGTTAGATTTATCGCATTACAAATACTGTATTACAAAAATAAGAACTTTTTCGTTTAGAAAATTAAATTTTATAAATAATATAAATTTTCTCAATATTTTTAAAAGATTATTGCGTTATAATATAAAATTTAAAAATATATATATAACGATTTTTTTTTACAATTTTACTAATATTTACAATTTTCTAATAGGGGGCGTCTTAAAAAAAGCGCTCCCTAATGGAATTTTTTAAAATAAAGAAAACATTACCAAACGTGTTTTTTATTATTTTTTTTTATTTGAAACAAATAAAAGTAGTATTTACATAAATTTAACTTTAAAAAAATCAATAAAAAATAAATTTGTTATTCATGCTCATATATGTTTTAATATTCTGTAAAAATATATATATTCTATGTTTAAATTAAGCCATTAAATTTTGAATTTCAAATCTTACCGAATGAAAATTGCTATCAATCTAAAATAAAATTTATTGAATTATGATTTAAATATAATTAAATTGCAGCTCTTTATCAATAATAAAATAATAGAAAGAGAAAGGAGAAAAATTATTTAAAAATTTAAAAATAAAGAGGGAGGGGAAAGAAAATAAATTTGCCAGGCGGACGATAAATGAGAATCACGTGCCAATGATATCGTTTCTAATTGGTTTAAGTCGTACCGTTACCAAGGCAACAAGCAGTAGTTTGAAAATTGCAAATGGAGGTCAGATGAATTAAGAGTATTTTCGAAAGTTCAAGTAAATATTTAATTTATCTTGTATAAATTCTCGAAATACACTCAATTAAAATGAATTATTGCCTTATTATAGTAATGTTAGAACTTGATAAGTGTCGTAATTTTCATTTTATTTATTTATTGTAGGCCTATTAATATATATAGGCTATATATATACATATAAAAAATATTCAGATAATAATAATATTAATGAAATTATTTTGTTCAATTACTTAAATGATAATGTTTAATATATTTCAGTTAATTGAAGAGATTATAGAAAGAAAAATTTGAAATTCCGGCGTAAATTATGAAAAGATGGAAAGCAATTTATAAAATAATCTGATATATTTCTGGCATTTAAGAATTAAAAGGTAATTTTCAGAATACTAAGTATCAAAGGTAAGAATTGTACGAGTAGAATCGTATCCTAGCTACGAGTTGCATAACTTTCCAGGCAAAAACATTTAAATTATTTATAGTACTCTTACGGAATTTTATTTAAACACTTTTTATATCATTAATTGCTATAAAATGGTAGAAAAGCGATGATTTTTATAGAATTTTAAATGGTAATAATACCTCACTCGAGAAATGACACATGACTTCCTCTATCTCTTCATTCCCTCGACCTTTAACCTGCAAAATTTTAATAGTATCAAATCCTCTAATACACAAACTTTACTGAAATTTTCGACAAAAGACACAAGAGTTATGCTTCAAATTTTGTTAACAAAATAGTGCCCTTTCCACACATACTAACATCACTACAAATAGAAAAAATTCCGAATTTGTTTGCATTTCTAGTCCCCTGAGTCTAAAAATTAAAAATTTGGGGGTCGTATTTTATATATAGTATATAAATTACTATATATAAAATACTTACCTCTCATATACTATATAACAGCCAGGAAGTTAAAATTATACGAGTTAGAAGCGTAAAATTATTGGCTTTATTTTAGAATTTAAACTCTAATTTTTATTTTCTAGTTGTCTAATTGAGGAATTCCTTCACGTAGAATGTTCAGCATGCAAAAATGTTGAAAAATGATTATAAAAGTCATTTACCGTTAAACAATTGAATGTAATAAGCGCTGCATTTTTACTTTCTTTTTCTTTTTATAACATTATAACGTTTAAATGGACCATTCCTCGTTTATTGTGTGTTTAGAATGTGTTAGAAATACCACAGTGAAAATATATAGATAAAAATTAAATTATCAAGCTTTATCTAATGTTCTACCTCATTATTATGCAGTGAAATGCGATTATCGTGCATTCTAGCATATTTGTTGACTTTAAATGAATTACTTTTTGGAATAGTTATTTCATGTCGTCTTAATTATAAAATAACTTTTTAATTAGTGAAAAATATAAGCCAAGCATGACCCGTAATATAAATCACACGCTAATACAAAATACTATTTCGTTGTAATTAATTCAAAAAACATTTTAAAATAAATACTTCATTAAAAAATCCTCAAGTAACGTTACTTGTAAACAAATTCTGATAAATGATCTAAAATTCAAAGCAATATTGTGCTCTGTTCTATCTCCCTGCTTCTTTTTCTGCTTACTATAATTTTCATCATTTATCCAATCAAGCCCTATATCTGTTTAATTTAGCATTAAACATTTATATAAATAAGCATAGCAGATATTCTGCGTGGAAATTTAACACTCGGAAAGCTATTAAATATAACAGAGGGAAAGTATGGCAATAGGTCAAAAAATGACCCTTTTAGATTTTGACATTTTTAGACTCAGGACCGCTTGAAACGTCGAGAAATGCAAAAGAGTTGGAGGTTTTCTATACGTATGGCTGTTTGTGTGAGGGCACCAACTTTGAAGCTTAATAACTCCTGTGCCTTCTGTTGAAAATTTCTGAAATTTTGCAGGATGGTTTGCATGTTAAAGGCACAAATACTGTTAAATTTTGGTGGTTAAAGATCAAGAGGGTGAGGAGATAGGATCATGTGTCGCATCTCGAGTGGGGTCGGACTTAATAAAGATTTTACACGTTATAAGCATTTATAATTTAAAAAAAATAATAAAATAAAACTAATATTCACTCTCAAATTGTTTTTGCCATTTTATAGTAATTTATAATAATAATGTGACATTTTATTTTAAAACTTTTTATAAGAGATGGCGCCATAAACAATTTTAACTTTTTTGCGGAATAAATTACGTATGGATGGATTTTGTTTTAAGTAATAACAGGAAACGTTAAAGTTAGCAGAACATAAAATATGTATAAATAAATTGTCACTGTATATTTCTTATAAAATATTTTGCAGAACGACTGTAAAAAGCATAAATAAATTGGTGTATTAAATCATGTAGGATGAAAAATGCTATTTATTAAATTAAATATTTCTCAGAATTCGAATTTATCTTTTATTATTTATAAGTCAGTGATAATAAATTAATTTTATTAATTATAAATTTACGATATGAACTAATAACAATAACATTAACAAATTAATCACTGTTATAATTAACATTCCAGATTCAAGCACCAATAATTAATTCCCTTAAATTATTACTGTAAATGGCATAATTACTGGAGTAGTATTTGGAGAAGGAAATATTCATCGAGCTACGAAAACTTCTATAATAAATCTAACAAGATAAGGGATCATTTCTCATACGGCATCGTTATTAGGAGTCCATTTTTCAAGTGGTAAGTGTCAAAAATAGTGAATGAAGTCGTTTTTGACACCTTGTGATCTTCATATTGTAAATGTCATCTTCACGTGTCGAAATTCTACCAACTTCTGAATAATTTGAAACATTTGATACATTTGTCGTGTAATTAAATGCACGAATAGTCGTTACGCTCTTGAAATTATAGCAATACTGACGGTTATTTGCTCTTTAATGGTGTTACAGTTATGGGTCCATGACACAACGAAATCGTGGCTTTAATTAACTGTCAAACTGAATTCGATATGTTTCCGTTAATTTAAAACAATGACGTTGTTAGTCTCGATACAGCGATACTATCCTGGTAACAAACTAACAGCTGATGTAAATTCCACACATCACAATACATACAACACATATTATCATCAGTTTTGGAAAGTTTTCCACGCTTTAACTCCATAGGTAGCAATAAGGGATGATTTATGTTTTTAAAATTAGAATTATTTGCATTTTATTTACCTAACGAAAGTATTAATAATAACTGTAAAGATATTTTTTTCAAGATGTCTAACTTAACAAGGATTAGTTAGGAAGAATTCTTCGGGGAATTTCCTTCTTCTAACATTCTCCAAAAGTTGAAAATTTTAATTATGAAGCATTATTATGGCCGTAATAATAATAAATGACATTTCTACACACAAAAACATACAATCTAAATTATCGTGTTTTTGACTTGACTTTAATCAAGACAGCTTTATAGTTACTAAAAGTATTATTATAAAAAGACATCTTTTGGAGTTTCTGTAGGTTTGTAAACTTAGAAAAATATTAAAAAAGGGGGAAAATATATATATACCACAAGATATATTGACGGTGTAAGTCACTGAACTACTTCGAGATAACATCCAATATCTTTCAAAATTTTGCATCCAGATATATTGTCAATATATTTTTTTCTATTTTGTCTTTCATTCCCCCATGTTTTCGAGAGAATTACATTTACCATTCTCATTGTTATTCTGTTACGGAATGTTTTCCTTTTGTTTTTGGTTTTCTTCACATTTTTGTTTTGTTTTTTCTTCTCTATTCTTCGATAGGATAAAGTAACGAGGCTTTTTGTGTTCTTACTATTTCCTATGTTCGATATATTACGATGCTAACGAGAAGACCGTTTCCAGAAATAGTGCTATGTCGATATTTACTTGTCACTTTTTTCCTTTCTCCATGTCAATATTGTGTTCTGGGAAAAGTTAGGAGATTGCTGAGGCCTTACATCGGAATCTAAAAGTGTCTATAAAAACTACATTTTGTTTAGTTTCTACAACCGACATGTATTATTGTTAGGAAAACACGGGATAAAAAAAAACAGCTTTCATTAAAACTCCGCTTATAGAAGACCATAAAAATTTGACTTTTGTAATTTTTCTTTTCGAAAAATTGATGTAAACTTTTATTTTATTATACTTACGAGACTCTCATACTGTGATTTTACATTAATACTGCATTATTTTACTTAAAAAAAAATATATATAATAATAATAACAATCCTGAATAGAAGTAGCTAATGTGTTTAAGTGTATTGCTATTCTGAATGCTTCATAAATAATTTTCGAGTAAAATAAATTCACTTTATTCATTTTTTTTAGGAAAAGGAGAATTGTGAATTTTAAGGATTTTAAAGAACATTTTAAATTATAAAATAGATTTTTAAATGTTTTTTTTAATTATTGTTTATTAGGACTTCTTTATAGTAAAGGACTTATTCTTTTGACTGCTGATTCCTCTTGTGTTCTGTAGATACACCAATATAGTAACTCCTATTGTTATCATAAGGAATTACTAGGAAAATAACAATAAATTTAAGAACATAAAGTAATTTTTAATGTTACTTTAATGAAGTTTCATTTCGATTTTAATATTTAAGAAGCGTTTTAATTATTTTTGTGTCTTAATTTTGTCATGTATTGAATACATTAATAATTAAGTACTGTATCTAATAATAATAATAATTATAATTTTTGAAATAACTTGTTTTATATAATTTATATAAGTTGTTACCTATTCGTTCATTTAATAAAATATATTAAAAATGAAAATTTAACTTCAAATTTAATCGATTTTTATATGACAATTTAAAACAATAAATAAATTACATTTATCAAATTTCTTACGGATTTTTATATTATTTTATAGTTAAGATGCATAAAATAGGGAAGAGGAGAAGGTAAGTACAAAGAAGAATGGAAATATTAAAGTATGGATAACTAAGAAGAATAAAAACAGAAATAAGAAGATAAGAATTGATGGAAATATCAAGCATATTGTATAAAAATATTAAATATAAGCCTTAAAGAATAGTCATTCAGGTAGTTAATAATTTAAGTATTATTATAACAGTAATCGATATATGAAGCAAATCCACGAACCATTATTAGTTATGCACCATATTTAACTAACTAATTAACTAATTAATTATTGGTTAACTAATTAAATCATGACCAAATAAGATAAACAAGATCGTAATACACGAGCCAAACCGTGACGACGTAACTAAAAGTTTTTAAGTTTAAAATAATGATTTTAAGATGGTTAATTAGATAAGAACTCTTAACGTCTTTAATAATAATCGCGTGAATAATTGAAACTGTAAATAAACTAGAATAAATTTATAGATGCTCATTTAAATATCTAAATTGTCAGACGGGTCATTTAGAGGATTTATTCCAAGCAGGGTATAAAAATTTATATAGGGTGTACAGAAAATGATTATAAAGAGAGCCATTTATCCTAAGGCAACCCGAATAGAAATTAAGAACTAGAGCTTTCGACAGCAATTTATATAACAACCTACAAGCTGTAAATAGTTTACTGAAAAGAAGTTTGTAAATTGTTATTATTCTGACAGATAGAGTGATTCATTAAAGGTGATTAAAATATAACAGAAATAATGACATCCAGGTGGTTGTAATGCGAGTAGCGATGGTACTACGTATTCTCATTATTACAGAAAATTGTGTACCAGCTTCACACATTTTCATGTTGTGCAGTCTTTCATTTTTATGCTGTAATAAGCTTCATAGATCATGTTTCGGAACCTGTTTACGATTATGTGGTAGATACTACAGCAACGACCGAGATATTTATGACCCTGTGGGTGTTTGAATGTAAAACTGCAAAAGTGGAATTAATGAGGTGGTTTTATGCATGGCACAAAACGTCAGGCAGTTTTTCTAAAAAAAAAACTTTCCTTGTAATAATTGGTAGAAGCGATAAAAAACATGAATATATAAAAGATATCTTTTTTAACTTTTTTAAACGCTTTTTTATAATAATAATAATAATAATAATATCTGGAGTTGTTAAAGTAGATTTTTTCGAGTCACACTTTTAATTACTTTTATAATCGATCGTTATAAAAATTTAACTTAAGCCAATTTTTTATTATTAAATTTTTAAAATTATAAAACAATTAATTTCGGAAATTTATAACTGATTTAAATTAATATTTACTACAAATTTAAATAAATAAATACAATTGATTTTCTTAAATATATAGCTATTCAATATATTTCTTACAAAATGTCTACTATTATTGATCTACTAGTCATTTTTTAACATGAGAGATTTAATAAAATCTCGCATGTTTTAAATTAAAATAAAAAAAAAAGAAAATAATAATAATAAAANAATTTTAACAAAGTTTTAATTTATGAATTTATAAAATATGTACTTTTTCAATATTTAAATTTCATAAGAATAAACTCTTAAAAGTTATTTTTATCCAATAAAAAATTCAAAAATATTCAAATCGAACTATAAATATTTATTACAGAATAAAATTTTAATCTATCAAGTAGTGAAAGTAAAATTAATAATAATAATAATAATAATAATAAAAATTTACAGTAAAAAATCTTTATAATTAATTAAATTTGATAGATTTTTACAAGGTTTAAATATACTTAAATCCTTTAAATAATAAATGATTTTCGAGATAACTAACCTTTTATAATTCTATTAATTAACTATTAATTAAATCTATATCTAATGTATGATATTAAATGTTTTTTTTTCTTTCTTAAAATTTACCGTTTAAATTTGATCAGAAAAAGGTCTTCGTGTGCCGACTATATCGATTTATTTTGTTATGAAAGTTTCAAAAAATATATATAAAGTATATATATATGTCAAACTGTGACTGCTAGCGCCTACTCAATATCAGAAAGCAGTCGAAGGATGAAACAAAATTTGAGAACTTTGTCAAAATTAGTTTCGTGTGGAGGTCCACTGAACAAATTTAAGCGAGAAATACGTCTTGATAGCGTACTGTTTACAGTTATTTCTTTTGTAATTAAGTAAATAATATATTAACCCCAATTTTATAGTTATTTCAAAGTCCATTCGTACGAATCAATAATGTTTTAATTTAAACGCAATTTTAATAATTTCCAATCTTTAATCTAAACTTCAATCAGAAAATATATGTAAAGTTAACGGATGTTTCATTATTAAGGATAATTTATTATCGGAAATAAACATGTAGATAATGAGGAACTACAAATGCTGATAAACTGTTTCAATCAATTATTAAATTTAGTGTAGACTTACATAATGAATGCTTACAGGAGTATTCATGATACTGTTAACGCGACAAATTGAAAGAATGTCGGATACAAGACTAATTATGTAGAATCTAATTAAGAGCACATACCACCAGAAAGTTTTTAAATTGACAAACTCTTATTACGAAGCACCAAATTAAAAATCCGGAAGGAGATTACTTCGTTCATTAAAGTTAAACATTACTTCAGCTGAGATTCTCAGTTAACTTTTGAATTACAGTTTTCTGATAGGGGGTTACGAAAGTCGCTACAGTGTAATGATTTAGTAAACGAATATACTAATGTAAATCCTCGTCTAAGAATTAAATTTCAATATTTTGATTTACTTATGTAATGTAGAAGAAAGGTTATTCATTAAAAGAATTCTTAGTTTATACGTAATGATGACATTTATCTATATACTGTACTTAGTGAACCAAAAGTTAATTAACCGTATTTTGTTTTCTACGTTTAGGTAAACTCGTGAACTGAATTCTTTAAAGCTTCGTAATTTGTGAATCGAAGAAGAAGAAGAATCGCATTTGGAATTGTTTTTAAAATAAAATTTGTAAGTAATAAAGTATTCGAATAAGATTTTTAATCCTCCCTCTATGTAATTAAGTAGTTATCACTAAACAATTCTTTTATTTAATGAAATATTGGTTTCTTCACACAATTAACATCGCCCGATAAAGACTTATTGCAAACAATAAAAGTTTTCTGTCAAAATATTACGTAATAATCAAAAGAACATTTTATTTATATTCTACTACAGTATATACTCTGGTTATACTGTTAATGTAATTCACACTAACCTTAAATTCCTGCATTATATTTTAAAGCAAATAAGTCATATAAAAATTTAATATGTACCGTACAATCAAACCACATCTAGAGAAGATAGCACAGAAAATTACTACCGTATAATGTCTAAGAAACCACAATTTCAAACACGTATAATAATCCAAACAGTGGCAATTTTTCGTAAAAGATTGCTTGAAATATCCTACTATTAATCTTTCGTAAGAAGATATACAAAACATAATTCTATAGAATAAAAACCTCAGTTTAAATGTAATAATAGTGCATATCAGAACGTACAGTTACGTGTATTTAATTGAAACTGTCTTTCTATCTATTATGTATCTAGTTGAAAAATCACTTTTGGAAAACAAATGACGTAGAAAAACAGTTTTTTCGATGATAAATGATCCTTCATGAAAAATCAAGAGTATATCTATAATTTTGAGTCACAATCACGTCCCCACACAAAACAGCGTAATATCTACACCCATAAATAACACAAGGTAGTTCAATTCAGTCGTTTTATGAATCGGGTCCTCGATACGTCTTTTTTTGATGATCGTTTAATCTTTCATCTAATTTCGAAGGATATAATATAGAACACGCTCTTCGGGACTAGGGGGAAAAAAAGTGATATTTTACAATATGGAATCAATTGACATTATCCTTCTTGGCAAGAACGTCTCTATTGTAAAGAACAGGGAAAGCAATACGGGAATAAAAAGAAACATAAATTTTAATCGCGAATTGAGACGAGTCGTGCCAGCTGGAGGCTTTCGCTTAAAATTTTAAGGGAAACGAGAAGAGATTTCATAGGAAAGTAGAAGGCTACCATTCCTCTTTTTCGTTTTTCGTTGTGCTCGGACGTCGATACGAGACAAGCTGACACCTTGTCAGATATGATGGATGATGGGAAAAGAAGGAAAGAAAATGCCCCCTTTTCTGTGAGATGGATGTGTCTTCCTTAACGATCACTTATTCTTCCAAGCATTCTCCTTGACCAGCGAGCACCATGGCTAAACCCATACTTGACTCTTCTTTAGAGACGAACAATATTAGACCATTCTTCTGTGGGAAAATTGAGAATTTCCTACTTCCTCTCGACATTAAGTACTTATTAAATAATAGAATTATCTTTATATATATATATTTAAAGGATAAAAACTATTGAATAGAAACTTTTCCTAGGAAGGAATTCGATTAATTTTTAAAATTTTCAAATCGTCTTACTGATCTTATTCTGTTATAAATTAGACACGTGTGTTTAAATTATTTAATAAGTTACCTGATATTGTATTGAAATTTAGAATTTATTTATATAGATTATTGAATACGTAATAAGTTCCTATTTAATATAAAAATCCTATTATAAATTCCTTTATTTTAATTGAAGGAAAATTCTCATATGAATTATTACACTACTCGAACATTTTTCTTGTTAATAATAGATTATGATTTGTTAGGCGATGTATTGCTATAAATAATAATAATCAAGCTATGAAGCGCTAATAAATTTTACAGACGATTGTCGACAAGTATTAAAAGTTTAAAACTTCACTTTAATGGATTGCTGCGTTAGGAAGTTTAAATTGCATAACTTACTAATTGAACCCGTAGCCAAAATCACGTCTCTTAGCCCTTTTACATATTGATAACTTCAAAGTTTGAAATGAATATTTTACCAGATTCTCTTAGAAATCTTACACGAGATCCATACCATACCGAATTGTCTCTTCTTCCCTCTTCGTGCACGTGTCAAATTAAAATGTACCAACGATTTCCGCACGGGAATATCGTCAGAATTTCGTGATGGTCCTCCCAGAATTGCTTAAAATCCCAATTCTTTGTATAAATACCCTTAGAAAAGTCAAAAGGTTATCATAAATTACTTGATCAAACAGTCATCCACTTGGTGGATTCTTGTATATTCGTTTGGAATTTAAAATATTATTTACTCGCTTGATATCTTATATATTTGCATTTCATTAGATTTAAAATGTATGTTGAATAATGGGATATCATCTTCAAATTTTCTGGAAATATTTTGTTAAAAATAATGCAAAAAACACTACATTAACGGTATGTGAATCACTTGGGATTGTGTAAAGAACTTTCATCGCTTAAAATAACTTATTATAATTAATGATCTGGTTTTGATGTTTTCCAAAGACTAGACGTGGTTTTGTCTGTAAAAAAAATCGATAAAAAATTAAAATAAAATTCCTATCTTTTCGAGTATTCGGTTTATCATCATATTACTTTTTAATTAAAATATAATTAGTTCATTTAGTTGTATTAATTTAGTAATAATCTATTAAAAACAAGATAATAATCTATTTTTTTTTTATTGTTTATATACTACGAAGTAAGGATTTTAAAATCCTTATTATACTTTAATAACCAATAAGGTATAGAAGACATACTGATGAAAACATTTCTTAATAACTAAGAGAACAAAATCGATATCCTACATTCTGTACTTGAATACTAACAAACGTTATTAAAAATTTAATAATTATACAACATTTCAATTTAAAATAATTAAATGCCTATTAATTTACTTAATTCATTTCGTAACTGTTAATTTAAAAATTTTCTAAAATTAAAAATTCGAAATAATGCAAAAGCTAGTAATTTGATACAGACCACAAGTCAGCTGCTGTTTACCTTTTAAAATTCGTTTCCTTCTTGATATTTTCTATAATAATTGATACAAAACAGAGTTTTATGACTCGACGTCTTTAAAAATCTATTCGAAAAGACAGGATCTTCATCTTTTTTTCTTTTTTTCTCTGTAAAAGCAACTTTTTCTTTCCATATCATCAGCTTTATTAAACCACAACAACCGCAGTTCATTTATATATATTTACTTTTTTTTTTTTTATACTGAAAGTTCACTTTCCTAGAGTGGAAAAATAACCATTCCGATAAGAAACGTGTAACGTAAATTGATAAAGTACAACAATTTGTAATCTTAGAAGCGTTATTCTGCGTAGGGCATTCATCAACCACCAAGACAATAAAGCCAGAAACATTACATAATAATAAATAATTGTTTTTTATTATTATTTATAAATCTCAATTACGTTACCGAAAAGTTAATAAGTATATACAGTACTTTTATTATAGATATACGTAAATACAGTTGTACTACTTCGTACTTCGAACGCTTCGGAATGCGAACGACACGTATATTTTATTTATTGTTTTCGACTTTTAATTTATTATATTATTAGGGAATTTACTTGTGTTATTTTTTACCTTAAATTTAAGCTTATTTTCCGTTTTAATTTTATCGAAGTGGGTTATTATTTAGAGTCTGGGAATGAGTTAATTGGCTTTCCGTTATTTCTAATAGGAAAAAAATCGCCTCGGACTTCGGGAATGGATTAAATTCGAAGTGTGAGACACCACTGTAAGAGGAGGGAAAAAATCATTTTTCAACATCAACAGTTATAGCTGATAGTGTGTAATCCATCGTAAGATAAATGTGCAGATGATGAGAAGAAAAACATGAATATTTTTTTTATTTTTCTTTTTTTGGGGGGTGGTTATTCATCATTCATGAATTTTTCGATGCCGTTTCATGAATGATGTATCCAACCATTACAAAGATAAATAGTATCCGTTAAATTGTGAAATTTCATGCAGGACTTAAACAAAAATCGCCTACTATTTTTATATAAAAAAAAAAAATCTCTTATGCTTTATTTCTTCCTTTTGTACTTCTGTTTTTTAAAGTCCTTTTTTACATATAAGAAGTCGTATATTTATAACTCCCTAAAGTAATGGCCATTCTTGGCCATAAATATAATTTTGGGATACGTCTCGTAAATTTAAATGTTAGAAAACCAGGGTTTTAAGCTCGATATCCTTTCTTTTTTGTTGTTCCGGCGCCTGAAAAGTCGAAAATATCCGTAAGAAACCATTCGAAAAACCACTGTCGTAAAAACTAAATTATAGAATTAATGCGATTATATAACGCTGCAACAGCGTAAATTTAGATTTAGCGGATAATTTATTTTAAAAGGTGAGGATTTACTTCATCTAATTTTATATAGAAGAGGATAATAAAAAAAAAATAATAAGTGAATTTTTTGAACTTTAATTCGTTGGAATTATGTTAATTTAATTAGAAGTCAACGTGCAATTCAGCGACCTTATTCACTTAACAAAAGAACGATATTAATCCGTTATTACTACTATTAAAGAAGGAAAAAAATACGTAAAATTCTAGATTCAATTAATTTTTTTTTCTTTCTTTCTTTATAAATTATTTACTAGATATTAAAGAATTTTCGAACGTCAGAATTCTTTAGTATAACTAAGTAACGAAGTAAAACTTAAGTGACAACGAAAGGCTAGCGTAACAAATGAATTGACAACCAACGACAGTTCTTAAGAGAAAGACATTAAAATCTACTCGTAATTTAATACATCTACCAAACGTTTTAAAGTTAAACTGGATGCTCTATAATGATTTCTGAAATAGGAGAAAGCTTCCAACTTTTTATGCTATCGGATTTCAGCTTCCTTTCAGACAATCTCCAAGACAAGGGAATATAATTAAGGATGGCAAGTGTCAGTTCCATTGATTTAATAATATAGGTAGATGTAAAGGTTAATAATAGCAAATTTTTGATTTTTACAGCACGAAAATGCACGCACTTATCCTATTTTTTTTGTTTTTGTGTGTGTCCACTGCGCGTAGATGCTGTGTAAATTAGTAAATCTAGAGATAAAAAAATCCAGAAACGAATTGCATAACTTTCCCTGTAACGTTTAAAACTGCTTGTGTGGCACTATCTATAACGATGTTTTATTTATTAAAAACTTAATTTTGAGGGTAGAAAAGGGTTTTATAAAAAATTGTAAATGCGAATAACTAATAATATCGTCATTAACTCCGACCCTTCTCGAGATACGACACGTGATCCCCTCTACGACACCATCCCCTCGACCTATAACCACAAAAATTTAATAGCATCAATATCCCCAATACACAAATCTCTCTGCAAAATTTCAGAAATTTTCGACAAAAAGTGTAGGAGTGATTAAGCTTTAAACAGGGTAAACAAATTTGTGCCCCCCACACAGTTAGATCCATAAATACAGAAAAAAAAAACCCTTAATTTTTCGCATTTATCGACATTTTAAGGTCCCCCCCGAGTCGAAAACTGTGGTAATTTTCATCCCATCGCCATACTTTCCGTCTGTTTATATATAACAGAGCCACGAAAGTAAAATTATAAGGAGGGGGGAGGAAAAACTTATTTTTGAAGCAAGTTAATTTACACTTTTATTTTAACTTAGTTAATTATGGCATGTGATTCATTTACGTCCCCGTAAATCAGTTCTTCTTTGCTTTTACTTTCAAGGTGTTACTTTGGAAGATTTTAATTAAAATTTAACGTAAAAGTTCCATCCATTGAATTTTCTTAATGATGGCAGAATTATCGATCATTATTCATTATTCTTCGATTTTTATAGATTAAATGCACCACACTCGAAAATAGGAATCCCGTGTTATATCGTAAAATTCTTGTTGGAAATCAATAAAATGTAATTTTCCGAAATTTATTCCGTTGTACTTTGTTAAGTAAACTTTTATCGATTATTAATGTTTATATTTTAATATATAATTATTGCCTTTGGTTATTTAATTGCAATCTTACGAAGTCAAAAGTTATTCCATTGATGTTTGTCGTCGTAACTAACTTACATGTTTAATGCACGTAATATACTTGGATGCTCAGGTAGTGTGTTTCACATTCTCATTAGTTTAATGAGTAAAGCGTGGAGTGGCTCATAAATCAGTTAACCATTGTAAAAACTAATTTTCTTATTAAAATATTTAATACTTTCAAACTTCATACAAATTACTTAAAATAAGAAGACTTTTCTTGTTTAATACACAAGTTCCAACGCTTTACAATTCGTATTTACAAGCTTATCTGAAAACACACACACGCACACACATATAAGAAAAAGGTTAACGAACTTTTGGATCGTCGTGTTAATTTTTTATATCAGCATTTAGATAATTGGAGTTTTTAGTAGAATCTCTGCTCTCTAACTTACAATAATTCAATTCATACACAATACAGAATAGCCCAAAAGACCATATTTGTTTTGTTTTGTTCGCTTATCAGTTTGAAACTGTGTATTTAACGAAGAAGAACTCATTCTGAACAATTTTTGTGATGTGTTAACTGATTTTTGGGCTATCCTGTATACAATTTAAACAATTATCCTCAATACATTTACTCTAAAGTATAAGTTTTTTCGATAGGATATTTGAAGCTGCTTACGTTCAAATTATGCAAATTGTGGCTTCTGGATCTGAATGTTGGACACATCTGGATGTTCAGTACAAGTACATGTATCATTATTATTAAATGTGATACTTTTACAGGTAAGTTATATAAACTTTTGCACTAGAGAGGTGTTTGAATTTAGTATATTAACTCACCTAGCAAGTAAAGATATTTCAATTGTATATTTAAAAATTGTAAATTGCAAGCCGATTCACACGAGCGACAATGAACGACGTTCGTGTGAATCCATATTTAGGCTTTGATAATGACAATAATGTATAAATTGATATGATAAATTTTTAGTTTTCGATTTAAATTGATATATTTTTTTATCTTTACAAAGATGTTTACTATAAATTCCCTTTGGGATATAAACTAATTTCTCACTTAAGTGTTTTAAACGAACAGTTTGATTTACTTTTTATTTTATCGAGTTAATTTTAAGTAATTTATATTAATGAATGACGCTATAAATATTTTATTTAAACTTAAATAATTTTGGAAGTTTAAAATGTTTAGAGATTTTAATTTGCTTTGTTGTTTATTCATGTACCAATTAGACAGGGAGTACTGAACAGATTTCCACTTGGCTGTAATTACAGTGCTTCAAGAGATTCTAGTTTGACAAGCACTGATGTTAATTAGTTGCAGATTTATTTTGAAAAAGGAAGAAGAAGAAGAAAAAAATCACGAGGAAAAAGTGCCCGTCTTGGGAAATTAAAGAATATTATTCGATAAAACAATAGGGAATTTGGCAATTAATTTTGATTCAATTAAAGAGGTACGAAGATTATTATTATTTTTACTCATAAATAAGAAATTGTAATATCTTATTGTTATTTTTAAATTAATTTTTATAACGAAAACTCGTTCCATTCTTTTGTAAACAGATTGGCGTATAAGGATTTTATATATAACGGCCGTAAATGTTATTAAATTGTCCATTAAACGAACAAAATTAATTTCAGCCAGTTATTAAACATGCTTAAGTTGACAGCTAAATGGATAGTTTCGAATCAATTCCTAATTTAGTTTATTTATACCCTATATAAATAAGATTTATCGGTTGGATACCAATGGAAAAAAAGACGATTTTATATAAAAGTGAAAAGCATTAAAATTCAAAAGTTTTGTAATAGGAATTTAGTTTGGCATTTACTTTTACACGTTTGCTCTCTACCGAATAAAAAAAAAAAATATATATATATATATTTTTTTTTATTAAAAAAAACTTGTATATAAGTTCTTTGTCGACGACTATACTCCTACGTTGACATTTATCTCAATAGAGATAGAGGTTATACGTAAAGTCGGAGGTGTAAATCCTGCACCTGAAACGGTGAAGGGCCTATGAGATTTCTCTTTGTAAACAAAGATCGGAAAGTTTGTGTAAAGCTCTACCTCTTATATTCTCTATCTATTCCCATGGGTCATTCCCATGAGTCGCTTGATATCGTCGTCCCATGACAGTTTCGTGTTTCTCCTCCAGTAGAGGATTCTGACGACTGAGAGACTCTTAGAAAATTCTTAATCTTCAATTTCCTTCAATGAAACTTCTCTTAAGACCCGGCTTATTTGATTTTTATATTTTCATTGTGACAATGTAATCACTCTTTTATTCAAAATGCAATTTAAAGTCTCGATTTTCAAAAATAGCGAATTGAACAATTGTACGGCTTCTTTATTTTCCACCAATCTATCTATTTTTTTCTTGTTTTTCCTTTTAAAAAGAGTGTTTAAAAATTATTTTTATTTCCAAACGATGCTTAGGAATTCGTTATTTTTATGAAAAAATCAATTATTTAGATCCACCAGAAATGAGAATTTATTATAGAGTTAGCGTGAACAAAACAGGAAACGGTAGTAAAACCAGCAGTCTAAACGGAAACTGGCTGAAAATTTAGTTGGAAAAATTACTTTTTTAAATGTGCATTTTCCTTTTAACAAGTTTCTAGTGCTGAAAGAAAGAAAGATTAATAGATAAAGACATTTCTATTAACTGAAATTTGTTTATTTTTCACAGAAAAGACCTGTCACATTCGTATATAATTTCAAATAATTTAAAAATGAGCTGCTCCTTAACTTATACTACATTTAAATTTATATATATATTAAGCATTTTATTTATGAAAATAAATCTTTAAAACGCCTGTTTTACAGAAGTAGATAAAAGTAGACGATGTTTAGTTTTCGACCTTGTTTAACAGGAAAACAATGTTATAGAAGAATCTTAAGAAATTAAACAAATGGAGGACATAAACCATAGAATGATCGATTTTGTATTCAAAATTCTCTAAAGAGAGATTACTAAAGATATTACTTGTTTGAAAAGTATCCATCTGGCTGGGAAAGATATTGATTGTGGTAGAAAGTTCTGAACCCTCCAATGGAAGTTTTGTTATCCTTTGAAATAACAGTTATACTCGAACAAACTAAAATTGAAAATCGAGGCTTTCTTAGACTTTCCTATAGTCTATTGTGAGAAAGTGTCTGTTAAGCACAAGTCTCTTTAATCCGAAAGATTACAAAGAGATCCTCTAGCTGGAAACTAAACACGCCAAGAGAATCTGGTAAAGATCACAAAACCGTAACTAAATAAATAGCGTAAGAGATTCGAAATTCTTACGCATTCAGAATTATTCCCTTAAATGGGGTGTTTGATTTAAGTTCAGAATAATTTTACTTTAATTGCTGATGAGAGCAGTTTGGGCACTTATCGCGTAAAATTGGATGATGATGAATGCTTATAAATCGTCAAAAGAAATCCTAGATAAGTCTAATTTAAGCTTCGTAGAAACTAAAGTGTCAAGGACTAAATCCAATAACCTTACCAGCACGAAACGAAGCCTCAGTTAAGCATTTTATCTCTTAATTAAGTATCCTACATGTGAAATCATGCTTAAAATGAACCGAACCATTCCTTAATATAATTCCATATTCTAAAATTTAAACTAGAAGTAGCTTAAATGAATCCGTTGTCAGTAAAAAAAAAATGAATAAAACTTCATCTTCATTAAATCATTTTTAATAATGTTGTTCATAATTTGGCTGTTTATTTACATTGAAAAATTATATGGGTCTCCTTTGAGAGATATCTTTTTTGTTTTTGCATTTTCTTTTTAATTACAATATTAATCACGAAAGAAATAAATTTTTGGATAATTAAACTTTGCTAAAAAAAAAGACAGTTCTCTCGAGTAAAAGAGAATTAATTAACATAATCCAAAAGAGCCAAATTAATAAGCTTTTAATACAGCTACTTAACCTAAAGTATCTCAGATTCTAAACAGGAATCTCGGTTTAGATTTTTCTATAATAATAATAATAATTATTATTATTATTATCATAGAAAAATGACCCTCCAAAATTTTTACAGTTTTGGACTCGGAAAACCTTCAAAACGTCAAGAAATGCAAAAAGATTAGGGATCTTTTTCCGTTTATATGGATGTTTGAAGCTTAATAACTCCCGTGCCTTTAGTCGAAAATTTCTTAAATTTTGCAAGGAGGTTTGTGTATTAAACGCACAAATACCGTTAAATTTTGGTGGTTAAAGGTCAAAGGTGAGGAGTTATAGAGAATTATATATCATATTTCGAGTAAGCTTAGACTAAATGCACATTTTACTCATTAGCATTTATAATTATTTATATATAAAATTCATTTCTACTCTCAAAATGAAGCTTTTTTTTTTTTTCTACCATTTTATAATAATTAAAAATATAAAAAGTTTTTAAACAAAATATCATAACAGATGGCACCACATACAGTTCTAACTTTTTTGCCTGGAATGTTCTTAAACTTGACTTTCAATTCTGGATTTCTTTATGAAAACATTTTATACATAAAAAAAANTTTTATAATAATTAAAAATATAAAAAGTTTTTAAACAAAATATCATAACAGATGGCACCACATACAGTTCTAACTTTTTTGCCTGGAATGTTCTTAAACTTGACTTTCAATTCTGGATTTCTTTATGAAAACATTTTATACATAAAAAAAATCTGAAAAGCGATTCCTAAACACGACTGACTTTAGGATTTGAGCTCGAAAATACTTAAAAAATAAGACCTTTAAACTAGATAAGCCTCAGTATCACAGTTAAAGTGTATGTTTTTCTGAAATAAAAAAATCTCCCCCAGTTTACTTAATTAATTTTATTTAGCATAGAAGACATTAGAAGTTAATCCAGTATACAAAAACTACTTTACTTAAGCTGCAATCGATATGGTTCCTTTTGTTTTATGTAGATTTATCGATTTTTCTTAATAATAATATTGTTTCTTCACCAAAAAAAAAAAAAAATAGTATTTTTAATCAATATAAAAGGGGAAAGAGTAAGAAAACAACGATACTCAAACAAAACAAAACCCCTCCCAAAAAAAAAAGTTTAATTAAATTTAAAAATAAATTGAAAGACATGTTTTATAGTTTGCTTTATCAATAATAGTGTATAAATTAAAAAATATAATGTCATTTTTATTGAATATTTTGCATTGTTCTTCTGTTCAGTGTTCAATCTTTTGATACTAGAACTTGTCTAAACTTTTTTTTTTTGCCATTTTCTTCTATAATCCTTTTAATCAGAAGAAAAAATCGGTAATATATTCTTCTTTTTCTTTCCTTTAATACTCGATATTCTTGTATCTTTAAAATTAAATGTCTTTTTAAGCATAATTTATCAACTTCAAAAATTAAATCAAAAATGGTATTACAAAAAATCGATTGTCTTATTTTGTTTTTTTTTATTATTGATTTTTCAGATTCCAGCAAACCGTCCGAGAAAAGTGAAAAAATTTTTTTTTATGTGATCTGAGTTGNTTTTAAATTTATTTTTATTTTTAAGAAGAGAATTCTGATAGTAAGTACAAAGGAATTTCTCTAGCTGTATCGCTATTATATCTCAAAACAGTTTATAAAAATATTCTACTGTTAAAATGCATGGAAAATTTTTACGTGATAAAATTTCTTCTTTTTTTTTGCCAGTTTTTATTTTTTCTTTCTTTCTTCTTCTTCTTCTTCTTTTTTTTTATTATATTATTATTAGAAATTCAGAATTTTGTAGGATAGAAAATTGTAAAATTTTATTTAAATAAAAATGATATTACAAAGAATTTCTAAGAAAGAGAATATTTGATTTGGAATTTGATTTTCATAGATTTTTGTCCATTTATTAAGGAAATTAAAGTCGTAACAAATTGAAAAAGTACTCTTAAAACGTGGTATTATTTATTAATATTATTTTAATTTCTATATTTAATAGATATGAACAAGTACTAGTTTTATTTTGGAAACAAAAAGTAATATAGAGATGAACAAATTTCAAATTAATGTACAGTACATATGCACCCTCCCCCTTTTTTTAATCAATTTTACTTCTTGGATAACAAACTTTCCATCTTTGGGGGGTTTGTTATTCAAGAAAACTGCAAGGAAACTGTACGAAAACCTAATAAACTGCAATAAAACCTAACAAAATGCAATAAAACTGCATGGAAACCTAACAAAATGCAATGAAAACTGCAAGAAAACCTAACAAAATGCAATAAAAACTGAAAGGAAACCTAATAAACTGCAATAAAACCCAAAAGAAGATTCACTAGAAATGTATAGTATACAACTAGTAACTAATTAAATTTTATAAAAAATAAAAAAATAATTTTAAATAATAATAATAATAAATACCGTGCATAAGAATTTCAAAATTTGTTTTCTTCTTGTTGAATAATTTTTATTAATTACTTTTAATGTCTGTTTCCAAGCAATAAAATAAAAGTTTCCTTGACAAAACTATTGATTAAATATTAAAATATATAAGTTGAACAAGAAACAAAAACAGATGCAGACTACGAAAAGTAATATCAATTTAAATAATAAATCCATAATTTATATCGCTTTTACGTGTCGTATTATTTGATTTTCATTTATTAAGGATGTAAAAATATATCTGTTATTAATTAACGTTAGAGATAATTTATCTTTTAGATAAAGGTAAATTTAATTTATTCTTTTATATATAGATACAAAAAGTACAAGTGGATCCGTACATATAAACGAGTGGATCTATACATGCGCTACCGAACATCGAGTATACATTGATCATATACAGATGCCATTTTCAAGACGTCTTCAAGCGAAAATATAAGGACGGTAGGATGATTTATGCCAATGCTATTTGTTATTTTCGTTATGATTCCAAAGCGAATGGTTTCTATCATGAATTTATATAAGAAAATTAAAAAACGATGACATTTTAATTCTGTCGTACAGGCTGGACAGTTTTATTTTCTCAGCTGTTATATAACAGAGGGAAATTATAGCGATAGGTCAAAAATGACTACCAAGATTTTTATATTTTTGTACTCGGAAGACCTTGAAACATCGAGAAATGCAAAAAGATTAGAGATTTTATCTATATGTATGTGTGGGAGGCACGATTTTGTTCACCCACTTTGAAGCTTAATAACTCCTGTGCCTTTAATCGAAACTTTCTGAAATTTTGTAAACAGGTTTGTGTATTGGGTGGAAACGATTCTAGTAATTTTCAGGAAAATCGTACGAGTAGTTAGGGACATATGGCCCCCATCCCTTTAATACCTCCCGAACCAGTTTAGATTTAAATATAATGATAGCAATTATTAAGGATGTAAACAAAGAATGCTGGGAAAATCTAACAACAACATTGCCAGCTTTGTATGTTTAGATTTTCCATATGAAAAGATCGAGTTATTCTATATTGAATTGAGAAATATGATTTCAAATTCGGTTATATCGCTGTATGTAGAGGCATTATCTCATACAACCGTACTCATACATTACATTTATCTTATAGGGCCGTATTTCAAATCTAGTGTTTCAATCTAAGTATCATCGTGCCAAATTTGGTTATGGTATCTTAATGCATAAGTAGTAAATAACTTTCTAAACAAAGAAAATCGTGTAAGCACGACCTCGATAATCACTATATGAAATATACCCATCATCTTGGTAATATCTTACATATAGATAGAGCTTACTAAACACATGGATTTTAAATATCTAATTCGAGGAGTTATTTATTATCTCACTTCATTGTTATATCCCATCTAATATAGTTGATAAGGCTAATGATCACGTTAAAACCAATTGCTAAGGTTAAAGTTTTATATTTTACAGATGCAACCACGTTGTCTGAGACTTTTAAACAATATTAAAAACACGAAAATATACTTTTTGGACTCAAATCCAACCTTCCATTCACATGATTGTTAAATTTAACAGCTTTCATCTTATAGAATTTAATACGTTTGAAATCGTTTAGTAATTTTCTAATCGAGGAATAAATTTGAAATCTCGTAACAAATCTAAATATCGACGTACAAAACTTTCGTAACAATAGAATTATTCAGCATTTAAGAAATTAAATCAAGTTGATGGCAGACTTTTATTTACAACCTTTAAAAAGTTTCAAGGAATCTTCTCAAGCAATTACTCGACGATTTCCATCAATGGTAACTCGTCAATTTACATTCGAATTAAACGGTTAAAATAAAGAAGAATCAATAATTTCAATGTCTTTTCTTTATTTTTACTTTCCCGGTTCTGTTATATAAAACAGAGGGAAAGTATGACACCCAAGATTTTTCGACCCAGGGGACATTAAAACGTCCAGAAATACAAAAAATGAGTGTGTCTGTGTGTGGATATTGTTCACACACTTTGAAGCTTAATAACTCCTGTGCTTTTTGTCGAAAATTTCTGAAATTTTGTAGGGAAGTTTCAATATTGAGGGCCTTGATGCTAATAAAATTTGGTGGTTAAGGATCGAGGGGGTGAGGATATAGAGAGAGTCATTGGGGTCGAACTTAATGAAGATTTTACTCGTTATTCGCATTTACTTTTTTTTTTTTTTTAAATAAAAACCATCCCTTAAAATTAAGATATTTTTCCCATTTCGTAATAATTTAAAAATAAAATACCATAACAGATTGCATTACTAAAATTTTAAACGTTGCCGGGAAAGTTAGGCAACTAGTTTGCTGGGTTTTCTTTTTAAAATATCTTTCTCGTTATGAAGATACGAAGAGAATAATTAACTCGGATTAGAATTCTTCCGATTAAGAGCGTAATATAATTAAATTTATATTTTTAACGATGCTACTGAAAAATTTATTTATTTATTTTATTTTTTCTCCATTTCGTTTTAACAAAATAAAGCCTAAGATAATCGAAGTTTGTTTTCCTTTCCGTAAAAGTTGTGTAAATGATGATAGGTGTAATTGGCCTATTTACATTTCTCCTTACTGTTTGTTTACTTTCAATTTTCCTTTGGGAGATTTAGCAAACGTTTCTGTTTTCCTCCACACACGTATATATTTTTTTGCCAATTTATTATTTCAAAAATTGTGAAAGATTAAAAATTTCCTCATGTACTGAATAATAATGAACAGTTATAGTTATTTTTAAAGAAATGTTTCTTTATTTTTGTATTTTTAACATACTTATTCCGAAGATTATAAAAGGAAAAAAATAATGAATATAATAAATTTACACATTCACTCTTATTGATTTCTTACGCTTTTAATATTTATTTCTTTAAGACGTCCATAAACAAACTTCATTAAAACCGAGTGATGAATGATAAATAGAAGAAAATTCAATTAAAAAAAATGATGATTATCATAAAATTTTTTACATGAAATTTTGACTTACGAATCATAATAAAAAAAAGTTAAATTATGTAAATAATTAAGAACGAATTGAAATAATTAAAATTTAATCATATTTTTTCAGGGTTATTATTATTATTATTATTTTACATTAGCTGAATGGTCATCTAATTATGTATAAATGGTATTATAATTATTATTATTTGTGTATGTTGTCTCATATTCTTCACGCATAGAAGCGATGAAATTGGTTTTTCTTATAGTTTTCTGAGAAAAATTCAGTTATTATAATATAAATATTCTTCTTTCAGGTGAAGGATGTAGATGTAACATTGTTGGATCTTTGAAAAAAGGGAATTTCATCACCCAGGATTTTGATGTGATAAAATTTTAAAACGTGATTTCCACTTTACTAGCTATTGCTAACCTTTTTGAAGAGTTTAGCATTTTAACCCTTGTTGAATATCTTGTGAATTTCTATGATTCTCCTTAACTTTTTAAAGAAGAAAAGTATCACGTGAGTATTCAAGATTTCTCTACTTTTCTTTAGAAAATTTTATAAATTTATCATTACTAAAATTACATACATCATAAGAGAATTAAAAAGTACAATGTAATTTTACAGAATGACAAATATTTAATTATATAACTGTGATATTTGTTTTGGAAAACTTGAAAAATCTCTCGAGATTTTACAATGCGTTAGAAGAATCACTCCTCTCGTCTTGTTTATACCATTGTTTATAATTAAAGATAATTACAAATTATATAAAATCTATTTAATATTATAATAGATTAGTGAAGTCTGACAGGCAATAAATTAATAAAGACATAATTAAATCTCATTAGCGAGTCAATCACGAATCATCCGGATGACATAAAATCGTTAAGGTATCCTTAGCGAGTCTTGCAATATAAAGCTAAAAAGCACTACTTTCAGGTGTGTTTTTTTTTTATTTTTAATTTTTTTTGCCCATCTTCTCTTTAGGAAATTCAAACGCCCAGCTGTTTTGTTTGCTGATAAAATTTGTAGTAGAAATTTTGCATGCTGTGCGTGGTGTTTGCATATTTGCCTTTCTCTTCTGTGGAGACGAGTGTAAACACTTTGCGAGAAGAGAACAGAGGGCCTTGGAACGAATGCGGGAAGAGAAAATTGATTTGTTATTCGCTCCCATTTGTTCTCTGAAATGGGAAAGTTTTCTCTAAGTGGAATTCGGAACAACCTTAATATTAAGATTTCAAACAGATTAGGTCGAGTGTGTATATATGTGCATATATATTATGTATTCTCTCGACATATATGAAGTTTATTTAAAAGATGAAATTATTCCTTCACTTTTATAAAATATTTAAACAGACATGTCAGTTGTATTAGGTGTTAAGTTAGTTTTAATTCCCCCCGAAATGAATTATTGATGATTGTAAACTCTTTATTATAATCAAATTAACTTACAGACTTTAATTATAATTTATAACCGAAACCCTTCAAATGTCAATAACTTATATATGTTTAACTGGCAAAGTACTATTATAAAAGTGGTGTTTGCTTCCATTATTTTGAGAATTAGAAGGAGTAAAGATGTCAGTATACAGTAGACCCTCATAACACTGTTGATTTTTCCGTTTTATATGAATTCCATGTTGTACGAGTCACTTAGATTTTACAAATACGTGTGCTGTGCTGTGAATGGCTCACGTATTTGTAAAATCTAAGTGACTCGTCCAACATGGAATTCATATAAAACAGAATTATCAACAGTGTTATAGGGAGGTCTACTGTACTTGTATACATCTCATTATATATAATTAGTAATTGTTTCTATATTTTGGGTACATGTATCAAAATATTTGCTCTTGTATAGACTTAAAACTTGATTACGTTAATGGTAATTAATAATTGATATATCTATTATTGTAATAATTATAATAGATATATCAATATATATTAATTAAACATACGGGATACGGTGATAGTGACTGATAATAATGACTATATCGCCCTATGAGCCATACAGAATTGTGTACCGAATCAATAACTAGAGAACAGCTAATTTCCAGTATCAAAAACCTATAATTTCTTCACTTAATTAGAAAGTTTAGCATTGTTTTGCACAGCTTTTTCCCTTTTGTAACACGCGCTTTGAATATTGATTTTAAAATAATTTAAATAATTAAAATTGAATTAATGTATGTTAACATGGCTTAGATATTGTGAAAGGTGTGTCATGAGTATCGACTATATTAAATTATAGTCTACATGCATAATATAAAGCATATTTTCTCTTTTGTTTTCTAGGTTAAATGTACCACTTAGCAATAATTCATGTATGGAAAAATGTGAATTTATTATTTTAAAAACAGAACAAAAAGGTAAAGGGAGAAATGCTTTTAAATGTTACTGTACACTTTTCCTAATTTCCAATAATGAAATGACACACGGTTCGCGTGCACCGTAAAAATTTACAGCGACTTTGTTGTTACAGTACTTTGCATTATGGAAGTGGAAAATGCATTATAATAAAAAGGCCAAAAAATCAAGAAAAGTTCCATGATTGCACGATAAAATGTTTCATTTAATTTACATGCACCTTTAACCCGAATAATAGACACACCCAGGAAGATTTTTACTTTCAGATCATCCAAAATCTTTTAGATTTTACCACACGATATTATCCTTTATAATTAAGGAAAGTTTAAAAAAAAAGGAAAGTTCATTTTGGGGGATGATATTTAGTATCAAGTTCGTAGGAATCGACTAGACTAACCTCACTAAATTATGAAAGAAATGACAGGGCGGTGAGGTGAAGGGAGGTCATTTTACTTCTCATGAACAGGCGATAGGGGGAAACGATTCCAATGAAATATTAATGTTTCTCTTATCTCTTCCATTCTACTCATAATCGTGTAGTAGATACTGTATGTGATTCCCGGATTTATAAATAAACGAGATTTATGAGTCAAATGGTTTTTTTTTAAATCACGGTTTTTTAATGTAGAATTATCTCTAGAAGGGAGTGGAAAGATACATAAATCGCTCTCTGTCTGCTTTCCATGTCATAACGAATTTCTTTTTTTTTTATATTATTTTTTTCCCCTTTTTTTTCTCCCCTTCCTTCCCTATCATCGGAGTGAGTCATGCACGCTATGTTAAATATACATTAGTAAACTGTATCGCACTAATAACTAATTCAGAAACAATTTATGAAAATTCTGATGATGGATCAATTAAAATGTAACAGATTTTAACGATAAATCCGAAGCAAATTAAATTCTAGAAATGTTATTTATTCGGCAAATTGACGACTTTTCGTATTACTTTTTAAAACATTAAATTACGGGGAAAATATTAATTTTTTTTATTATTTAATGAAGTTAGAGAGAAAATATAAACTTTAAAGGAGAAAAAAAAATTAAAATCATTTATCATATATTCTTCTTAATTTTTTTTTAAAGTTTAGATAGACGTGTTGATATAGATAGAGACGAAGTTCTAATTCAATTCGTTAAAAAAATGTCGAGAGAAATTCGTTAAAGATGATGGAAAAGGTTACAAAAAAGAAAAGTTAAGTGGTTTGTGTAAGATAAAAAGTGAAGAAGGTAAAGAAAAAAAAAATAAAAGTAATAATGGTAAAAAAAAAAAGCAATTGTCTAAATCTAGGAAATAGGTCATGTGACAGAATATTCATATTAAATCAACGAGTTTTTGATATTTTCTAAAAGTTCAAAGGATTTATCAGGATTTAACATAAAATTTCATTCTAAACAAAAGAATAATTTTTACATATAAGAGGGAAAAGTAGAACAGACGTTTATAATCTTCGTATTATCTATAGAATTTCAATTATTGGAGGAATTATTATAAAATTTTAATCATAATCATGCGCCGATTTTGAACTTTTCTTGTACAAATTCCTATATTTTCTGTTGCTGTTTTTAAGTTTGTATTCTTTTTTTTTCTTTCTTACAATTTTCTATTGTTTCTAGAACTTAAAATTTGCACTAGAACTGTTTATATTTCATATATTTTTTTTTCTTATACTATTTCACGTATATCATGTGTTTCTGCAACGAATTTATTTTAATAAATTCTCGAGAATTTATGAAAACGAAATGAATTATAAGACATTATTATTTCTGTGCACAGAGCAAGTTATAAATCTGCAGACGAAAAAAAACGGGACCCACAAAATCAAGAAGCGACGTTCATACGCGATTCTATGACACGCAATTTGCTAAAAAACCGATATATCATACATTGAATGGCCTATTGTAGTGTTTCTAGCATATGGTATGGTTCAGGAAATCGTCACAATACCTATTTTTGGGCTGCAATTTTGAAAAAATTGTACACCTATAAATGCCCACTGTCTGTTCTTCCTTAATCTCGAGAACAATATTAGGTGAAATTCGTGAACAGATATGGAAAGATAAGCGAAATTAGGCCCTAGTTAATTATATACGAATTTCCGGTCTAGATCGGAAGTTACGTGAATTCAATTCAATATTTTTCTCCTAATCGAGTTACATAGATGACCGGCATGACTCCATTGCTAGTAGGAAAAGTATTATTTAAAGGGGCAAGACTACTAATTTGAGATGGAGAGCATATATTTTAAATTGTCATTGTGTCGATATCACAATAAATTTTCTGGTTAGTTTAGAAGAGTCGACATTATAAATTAACAATAAAATACTTATTTGTCAATTCAGTTGAAAGTAGAGAGGTGAAACGAGATTTTAATTAAAAATTCAAACACTTATATTAATAAAAAAAAAGAACACGGATGAAGCTACCTGAAGAGACTTAAAAAATTTACCTTTTCTATTCCCGAAAATTAAAAAAAATTCGATTTTTTTTTTCAGTGGAACAATTTAGAAGTGTATCAGCATTGACTAAAGCGAATGGAAGGAAACTTTCATAATGACATTCGAGAGTGAGTACAGATTTAATCAAGGAATATTTCATGTCGTTATTTCCATCAGAATGAATATTAATTAAAGTGTTTCAAAAATGGTTGACACGATGGCGTCATCTGGAACGATTCGAGAATCGAATGTAAAAGATAACTTTAAAAGATGAAGGAGGGGAGAAAAAAAAGAAAAAGAAAGATGTATATCATTGTAGTATCTTGCTTTTGCATCACTTAATAAACACGAAATATAACGAAATGTTGATTAAAGTAAAACTTTTAATTTACGAAGCAGACAGAATTAACACAAAGTCTTATTTTATCCAGTAAAGTTATTAGAGTCTTAATGAAACAAAGTTTAATTTTAGGACGCTTGATTCATGCTACTTTGACTCTTTATTTGCCTGTTGCTGCATTTACCTGTTTCACATGACTTCATACGACGGAATAATTATTACTAACGAAGCTAACAAGATTTTTAACGTTATTGCCTTATACGAATTAGCTTAGAAATTACAGAAAATATTTATTTCTTTAACTGAATATATATTTGATGCTATTAAAGGATCAATTTTCTATTTGAATTCTTTGAAAAAAAATTAGTAAT